TACTGTAAATCACTCATACCTGCAATCATTTGGTCATTCAGTGGGGCTTAACTAATATCTTGGCCAAACACTTGAGAAAATGGCCAGGTCTTTATACCTTTCTGAAAGACTAACCAGGATGGGGCCAACCAAACCTCAGAGGGAAAGCTGTTCCAGAGGGCAGGTACCACAATAGAGAAGACACATCTCCTAGGTCCCGCTAGATGACACTGCTTCACAGAAGAGATCTGGAACTTGGAAGTCCCCTCCTTACCAGCTATCAGTAAAAAGATCCACTTCCTTTCACATCACAGGAAAGCTATTAGAAAGAAAACCAGAACATTTCGACCCTAAAGAAACAGATATGTTGCTTTTAAATGGGAAGGAATTCAGTTGCTGGAATGTTTGTAAACTCATCCCATTTGTCTCAACATATCTTGTTAAAGAAACTATGTGACAATCCTGCTTGGAAAGAATCACTTTGGGCTAAGAAGCCTTAGACTGGGTTTGCATACTAAGCCACATACACACTAACAAATTTCACACTTTGTGCAAATGCAACCCCAGGACTTCAGTGAGCCTGCTAACTAGTTAGCATTCAGCCAATGAGTTTCCAAGGTTGAAGGTCAACTTGGTTCTGGATCTCCCAGGTCCACCAAATCCTTTCTTCAACCTCTGAGTTTTTCCTTTATGACCTCATGTCTCTGTGACTTCATGGCGCTATGGAAACCTATTTTTGTTCTGGAAGCAGGAAATTCTCAGCCTCATCTCTCCATGGGTTATTTACTGGATGGAAAACAAAAGAGAGAGAGAAGTTCAAAAGAGAGTCTGACTTCTTTGAAAGTATAAGGGGAATGAGGATCTTGCTAACCCTGGATCATTATCAACATTGAGCAATGAAACAGAGGATGGACAGTGAAAGGTTTAAAAGCCCAGCCTCATCTGAAGAGGACCTTAAAAGATTCAGTGCATCAGTCTCAACAATATTAGTAAGTTGCTTTCTTTAATCCTTGGGTTCCATCCAAAGGCCAATCATGGTCTACAACTCAGAAGAAGGTGATCATATGGAACGTTCTCCCCTTGTTCTTTTGTGGTCCCCATCAGATCAAAGTTCCCTGTACCATTATTATTCTAGAAAGCAAGATAGTTGCTACGCAGTTCCTTCTCAGCAGGCTTTGCCATGTTCTCCATTTCCACACTGACACTTCTTTTTCCAACCCAAAGAAACTCCTGCACCTTAAAATTGAATCCCATTATTTCTTTTTCGATTTCAGGAGCTGCAGACCTTCTGTGATTCTAATGAGATTTGCTTAAATGGCCCCTCTACCTGATTTCATTGATTTTATTCCCCCACGTTCCTCTCATCAGGTTGTTTGTAACTAATTATGCATTCAATCTTGTCGAGCCCTGGTAACTAAATCTAAAGTACAAATATCTCACTGCTCAGGTTTTCCAATTGGAAAATTCATTGCTATAAAAAGGCAGGGAATGAAAAACAAGATAAAGATGTCAATATGCACATAGACAAAATTGATGCTTATGCACAATGCAGAGATATAGATATAGTTATAGATATAGATATAGATATAGATATAGATATAGATATAGATATAGATA